ATATCATATATCTATAGTTAAAAGCACGTAAACTTGGCATCAATGTTCAATCCGATTATTGAGTTTCTACCGCGGACACCACCGTTCATTCTTCAAAATTTTTGTAAATAATTCTATCTGTCTTGGTTATATATCTATGGATAAATCTGCCAATTTTTCCTTGTTAAGTATAACTATCTATAAATGTATTTATAGCAGTATATTTATTCAATGTGTCTCTGTTTTGTTTTTAGAATATATTTTTTAAAATGATGTCAACATGTTACATTTGCCCCTGAAAAAGGGGTAAATGTAACACTTGAGCTTCAGGTGCGGATAAACGTTGTATTATTGGCAGAAAGGGGTAAATGTAAAAGAAATATATATATTACGAAAAATGTTGTGCAAAAATTATTTAAATCGGTTAATATTTAAGAAAGCAACAAGCTTTTCAAAAAAGCTAAATTACTTGTTTCATTAACAAATCCTATAATCTGGATGTTTTTTGTTTTATCAGAATTGGTCCCTTGGTTTATTTTCATTTTGTGCCAACGACGTAATGGCTCTGGACAAAATTTTTCATCTGGTATTACTGTTTTGTCAAATGGGTATATTCTTCCTTTTATAAAACCATTCTGTATCGCCTCAGGGGACAGAAGTCTCCAGGTGCCCCCTAAAAACTTTGAAAATAGAGATTCTGGTAACTTACGTCCAATATTTTGGCTTTAAAAGGCTTGAATACTGACAAGTCTAACGGTTGAAGCAAATAGCTGCTGTGCGGAGATAATTTAAGAATTGTTATGTTTTCTCGAATTGCTAACTGTATTACCTTAGGGCTAATATGAGTCGAATGTCCATCATATATGATAATAGCAGGACGATTTTCACCCAGAGTTGGTAAAACAGTGCGCTGAAAATAGTTTTTAAATATATCTGTCTCCATCCAGCTCTTTTTTGATGCCGCGTAAACAGTTCCAGGGTAACTAGATCCTTGCGGAGCACCCCATTGATTCCACATGTGTAGTCCTTTATAGATAATTAGTGGTGGAGCTTTTTCGCCTGCAGTATTCGCCATTAATAAAATTGTATTGTTTTCCCTCCCTGGACCACTAGTAATTCTGCTTGCAGATTTTCCCTTTTCCCACACAACACGGGTCTTGGTAGGATCAATACACAGCCTGGATTCGTCAAGATTCCAAATATTAGATGGCTTGTCTCTAATTTGAAGGTTGTCTAATGTTGATTCGAGAAGATCAAAATATTCAAAAATTGTGAAAGGATCTGCAGCTTTTTGCCTGGCGAACTTCATATTATGTGGCTTTTTCATGCTTAAACCATGTCGTTTTTTAAATCCAATAAACCAGTCCTGTCCTAGTGACTGTGATTTTTATCATTTATTTTTAACACAAACCAGCCAAAAAAAATGTATCGAAACCGTCCCCTCATTAAAATCAAGAATGCGCTACTGTAATTCAGTATGTTATGTTTATCTGTTGTTAACACATCTTTGGATTTATGACTTACACTAGAGACTCAAGTATGTAACATAAATCAGAGTGAACATGTTCATTTAAATTTTCCCAATGTTTGTGATGAACTGCATCTCCTACCACCCGACGCATCAATCCATCTAAAATTTTAATTGAATTCAAATCCTTTACCAGCGAGAATAATGTTCTCTCTTAGTGACAAGATATTCCATAATCCTGTTTTTCAAATTGCCGTTAGCTAAATTGAGCACAAGCATAAATAATGCAATCATTACACAATTGTCTCTTTACACTTCTCTGCTGTCTGGGCAAATAAAAATTACGCGATGTTAAATGTAACTATACATTCACCTATACTTTTAGAAATTGGAAAGCTTCTAGAATCGTGTGAGAACTTGCCTCTGGTAAAGTTTAAAAATGTTAAGAGAAGTAACAGACTTGCAATAGATGTGAAAACATTTAACACAGATTAAAAATACATGTACCAGGGAGTTTCTTACGGATTTTTTGGAGAAATTTAACTTTAAAAGCACCTGGATAAAATGTTCACGCTGGATGGCTTACTACAGAGTTCTAAGGTTAATTTTTGTTACTAAAAAACTATCCCAAAACCTTTAAGTAGTACTTACTGAATTTATAATTAAAATGTGTGCCGTATTTTGGTTTATAATTAAATGCAGTTGGTCTTGTGAAGTTGATGGGAACCTTTTAAACATGATTAGAAGATCTTGATACCTCCCTGACAAACATAACAAGTATAGGATCCTGTATTAAAGATGAATGGATATTTTGACCACATAAAAATCTTTTGATAGCAATGTTAGCAGATGACAGATAATTCATTCAATAGTTGGCTTTAACGAGAAATTTTAAATGTAGAAAATAATTGACGGGGACGTTAGAACATTTTAAGTATAGATGGATTATGTAGACTTAATTTATTGGCAAATAAAGAATGTAACTAATATGATTTATGTGATTCCGGATGAAATACACCTATTAAATTTTCCTAGAAATTCGCATGCAGTTGAGATGTGTAACGTTTAAATTTGGCCTTATAGCGGTTTTTCATAAAAATAAGAATACACTAGTTTTTATCGGTGTGAAATTATTTAATGGGTCCTTCTATACCCGCATTTTTAACCACTTGCTTTTGGTTCGATATTCGAACAGAGCGGTTCTTTTGTGACACTGGGTGAGCATGTGGCTGTCCTGTATATGATCAGTTTGGGGTAGATAGGACCTCTATTTGAGTTTAGTTAGGCTGTTTATTTCGTTTTAGAGGCTTTGTTTGCTTATTTTAGCACTCTCTGTCAAGAATTTATTTAGTAATAGAGGGCGCTGATGGGACACCTATCTGTCACTAAGGTATGTTGGTATTACTGTTTTTTTTTGAAGTGACATTGGCTTCCGCCTTCTGGAATATTTTTCGTGGTTCGACACGAGGTTTTAATTTGAAAGATTGTTTCGAAATTTATTGGAAGTCGTTTCAATCCATTTGGGATATTGCGAAGCAACCTTTTGTGTTAAGTTACAACAGTGTGGATTTGGTAGTATTTTTTGGTGTCCACATGTTGTAGGAGCTCCTGGGAGGATATATTTAAACCCGTGTTGATTCTCATTGTGTCCACATATATGTGTAGTCTTTCTAAAAGCCGTTCACGAATTTGTCGTTCAATTGATCTGGTGGGTGCATCGTGTTCCCCCTTTGCGGATTAAAAAAAGGGGTTCTTGTGACGGGCCAGTATTCTTGGTACGAGCCAGTATTCTTGTGATGGGCACACACTTCTTGTGTCGGGCACACACACTTCTTGTGACAGGCTGATACTCCTTGTGAAGGGCCAACACATCTTGTGACCAGCTGATTGATTCGTATGCTGCTAACGAAGCAGAGATATCAACGTCTACTGGGAAGAAGTCACAGTGTACCGCAAGTTTTTGCTATCTTATTTTTTTTATATCATTTATTAATATTTATTCTATTTTATTGGGGGGTGTTATTAGTATATAATTTTATCTAAACCTAATGTAAACGAGGTTTAGGGGTTTATGGTTCACAGTACATTTTATTAAACCCGAAACACTTCACCAAGAGCTCTTCGTGGGTTATATATTATTTATGGGTAATTAATATTTTAATAAGTAACAGTATTTTACTTGTTTTTACCCCTAGCGTCCGTAATTAGTACACTATTAATTGTTTTCTTTGATAAATACAGTACACACTTCATGTGTTATAGTTTTACGATTACCCCTAGTCCCATTTAATGATTTTTAAGCTTGATATAGTATTTTAGTTGTAAATATTACTCCCAGTGATACTGGATTACTGTTAATAATTGGGGAATCTGTTATTAAGGTACTAAGTGATTTAATTATTTGTTTATTTGTTAAATATCAGTATATTTCATAGTGGTAACGAAGTTGACCCCCCATGTCAACACAATAATTTATATATTTATATTATTAAACTTGGGTATATATTATTATTTAACTTATTATTTATCCTCACTTGCTAACTGTCAACATTTATTTTTATGGTAAAGTACACTTTTAATATATTTGGAGCATACTCGATTTGTAGCCGCTTGATAGCCTTGTAGAGGAGATGCTATAGTTTCCTATTTGGACTTTGGTAGTGAACTGTCACATGGATTGTTGTATGTGAGGTTAAGCTCCTGACGCCCACTGAAGAACATAACTTTTACTACGACTCATCCCCTTCTTCACTGTAGTTAGTCGGCATCCAACTTTGGATTGACATAAATCCACCTCGGTGCTTAGGCACAGAAAGTAGGTAGCAGATGTTTAAAATTAATAACAGAAGTTTCTATAACAGTTTTTTTTTTATTTATTTTTACACCAAAAAAAAGTTAATTTCTGTAGGGGAGGAAGAGTTGGGGTGAAATACAACCACCTCCACGGGTAAGTTCTGGGTTATTTCTTTTATGTGCAAAAAGCTGGAGAGCTGCATTTTTTTAAAGATCATTTCGGAAGCCAAAGAAATTGTCGTGGGATTTTTTTTAAATTTTTGTGATTCTGGATGAAATGCATTCATTAAAATTTCCTCGGCATTCGCAGGCGTTTAAAAGATGTTTAAAATTAAAAACAGAAGCTAATATATAGCAGTTTTTGGCTCTTTAGCGCGGAACGGGTTCATATAAAAGCTCCTATTAAATCAGGAGAAATTTGACCACAATATAAAACAAAAAAAATTATTTTTAATTTAGACAAAAAAGATACATTTCTGTAAAGGGAAAGAGTTAGTTAGGGTGAAATTCGACATGCAGCTACCTTCAAGGGAGAGTTCTGGGTTGTTTTTCTTTTTTACTTGATAAAAAAGCATGTAGAACTGCATTTTTTAATGTCGTATAACACTAAGATTTGTTTATGTTGTTAAGTATCTTAATAGACAACTGTTGCGTATGCAGGCAATTTTATTTCTTATTTTTTTTTAATCTTACATCTATTTTTGCTACGCCCTAATGTACGTGACGTTTTCAACATCTTAATATATGATTTTAAACTTACATTGTATCGAACTCTGGGATCAACAATCAGTTGTTTCGCTAAGTTTGGACTGGAACTCGTTCTGGCTGGTGTTCTCATAGACGCGCCTCCAGATCCCTGCAACAAATCTGGTTTTTCTACCTCTGGTCCACCAAATTCTTGTAGCTGCTGCAACCAGCAACACAACATGGCTTCAATTCCTTCGTCTACCTATTAACATAAGAAATTTATGAGTTTTCTGGAATAATTAATAACATTTAGAAGAAAGAGTAACGTGAAGAGAAATAGTAGTATAGAATCGTTGGTTCACGTAATTCCTGGCAAAGCATTTTTGTTTTCATATTACAGGTAGTAACAGTAAAGCATTTCGAGACAGAATGACTAAACAGAGACGAAAATAAGTATATTTATGTTGTAAATGATGTTGGGAATAACATGACTGTATAATAATTTAAAAAATTTAAAACAGAGCCAAATAGCCTTACATAGTTTTTTTTAACAACAGAATTAACTTTTTAGTAAAATCATCCATATTTTTAAAAATATAAAAAATGTTCAAAATAATTTATTCATCTTTAACCCTAGAGGCAAGAGGCAACCAAATTTACCAAAAATATTTGACAATTCAAATTTGAAACAATAAATCTATTTCTATAGCTACTTCTGATTTTCGGATATAATAATTTAAAAGCGCTATTCCTAAATATCTTGAAAAGCCCATTAGTGTGTGGCCACTTGAGTGTGTAGGTGAATCTGATAATATAGAAGAGAATTATTTATTGTTTCGGCCTTTACTTGATGAAAATCCATTTAATTTTGAAAGAGTAAAACCAAATTTGGTAGATTTTCACACTTTTATTTTAAAAATAAATTTTTTTTTAAAAAACACTAACATGACATATGTTTCGAAGTACAACTTCTTTTTCAAATGTGACTATTTACAATTCGGTATCCAATATATGTACGAAATAATTTAACAAAACAAAGTACTTAAGAAAACATCAATAACATTACAAAATAAACTAACTATTTAAAGTAAATAAGGGTACTTAGGTAATTATAATATCCATCAGATAACAATAAGATAGCCCATTACCGGGATTATCTCACAGAAAACTGGGAAAGAGATTTAATAAGGGTGAATTATTAATATCTAATTGATCATTTAGTAAGTTATCTGAATTTTTAAATCTATTTATTTCAAGTGTTTCTAAATGGTTTAATTTAAGGCTCTTATTTTCTACATGTAAAATTTCAAAGTTGTCTGTAAAAGAATGATTTTCAGCTAAAATATGATTTGAGTAAGTAGAATTATTTTTGTTTTTTGTATAGCTATTATAATGTTCGGAATAGCGTTTTTTGAAAATATCGGATCATACATGTTTTAAAAGATTTGTTAACTTAACCACCACAAATTTCTCTGATCCAGAACAATCTCTAATAGAAAAAGGGTTTAAACACAACATCGAACCTAAGATAAATACTTCGAACTTAGAAATTTTGGGAATAGAAACAGAAATTGCTTTAAAAGATTCATATAATACTTTGTCTCACAAATATCATACTGCAAATATAATTAAAACACAATTTTTACATAATAACAATTCAAATCAAGACAGTAAGTTAATTAAAACTATAAAGGATAAAACAAAACAGGATGATATCATTTTCACTCGTGCCGATAAGGGAAATACAGTAATTGCTATTAATAATATAGATTATATTGACAAAACTCTTTCATTTTTACAAGCAAGCAATAATTATAGCATACTCAAATTTGATCCAACAGATAAATATCAAAAAGAACTAAAACGTAATATTCAGGATTCAACAGCAATTTTTGATTCTAGAGAAAAATTCAAACTAATACAAATGAACCCTCAACCACCACAACTTTATTCTTTAATAAAATTACACAAAGAGAACTATCTTATTAGACCAGTTGTGTCATTTGTCACGGCTCCATCAGTTAAACTTTCACACACATTAATTAAACTTATACAAGAAAACTGCAAATTCAATTCAAAGTATAGTATAAGAAATTCTTATGAATTAACAGAAAAATTAAAAAACATTAAATTACCTAGTAACACAAAATTAGTATCGTTCGATGTAACAAACTTATTTCCTAGTATACCTCCTAAAGAAACAGTTAAGCTAGTAGAAAACTTATTAGATCGTAATCAAGTCAATATTATAATCAAAGAAGAAATCCTAAATTTGTTAAACATTTGCCTAAAACAAAATTATTTTCAATTTCAAAATAACATCTACTCAGCAAATGAAGGTCTTATTATGGGGAACCCATTAAGCCCGTTGCTTGCAGAAATATTTATGGATAATATAGAAAATAAAATTCTAGCAATAATTTAAGTAAACATTGTCTGTATTGGCATAGATATGTTGATGATATATTGACTGCTTTTACTGGTACTAGTAGACAGTTAAATTCTTTATTAGTTTTTTATCAATACTATACACCCTAATATTAAATTTACTATGGAAACAGAGAAGGATAATTCAATTAATTTTTTAGACTTAAATATTATTAAAAATAATAAAGGCCATAGTTTTGGGATATTTCATAAGCCATCACATACGGATATTACAATAAATAATAGTTCATCTCATCCATACAAACAAAAGCTGGCAGCATACAACAGTATGATCCATAGATTAGTTAATATTCCCCTTACCAAAGAGAACTTCACAAAAGAATTAAATATCATTAAACAAATCGCAGTAAATAATAATTTTAATTCAAAGTTAGTAGACAACATTTTAGAGAAAAAACTTTTTAAACAGGCTATTCAACAAGTTTATCCCATAATTAAAGATCCAAATTGCAGATATAAGAGTCTTACATATATAGGAGCTCCTAGTGAAAAGGTATCATCATATTTAAAAAACCAAAATATTAACGTAGCTTTTAAAACCAATAATACGCTTGGGAAGTATATTAAAAACAATAAGGGTAAAATTAATCCTAATAATAAATCGGGGGTATATAAATTAAATTGTGGTAGTTGTCCAAAATTGTATATTGGTCAAACAGGCCGTACTTTCAAAAAACGCTATTCCGAACATTATAATAGCTATACAAAAAACAAAAATAATTCTACTTACTCAAATCATATTTTAGCTGAAAATCATTCTTTTACAAACAACTTTGAAATTTTACATGTAGAAAATAAGAGCCTTAAATTAAACCATTTAGAAACACTTGAAATAAATAGATTTAAAAATTCAGATAACTTACTAAATGATCAATTAGATATTAATAATTCACCCTTATTAAATCTCTTTCCCAGTTTTCTGTGAGATAATCCCGGTAATGGGCTATCTTATTGTTATCTGATGGATATTATAATTACCTAAGTACCCTTATTTACTTTAAATAGTTAGTTTATTTTGTAATGTTATTGATGTTTTCTTAAGTACTTTGTTTTGTTAAATTATTTCGTATATATATTGGATACCGAATTGTAAATAGTCACATTTGAAAAAGAAGTTGTACTTCGAAACATATGTCATGTTAGTGTTTTTTTTTTTTAATTTTTATTTTTAAAATAAAAGTGTGAAAATCTACCAAATTTGGTTTTACTCTTTCAAAAATATAGAAGAGACTAAAATTGAATTTGTGAATTTGCATCATGATTAAAAATTAACCTAATTCTACAAATCAAAAGTGTACACAAATGTTAATAAAAAAAGTGGTTTTATACTTAATCAGAACACGATAACTAAAGGTGGCCACATACCTTAAAAGTTTACAAATTGTTTACCAGTACCAATGCACAGTTTGATTTATTTTATTGCAAACTATGGAAAAGAGTCTGAATTTGCGTAATTATATCAATTAATATTAAAAACCAACAAAGAGCATACTGAAGAATTGAAATTAGAACTACAAAAAACTACAAATTCACTTACTAAAACAGTGAATGATGCAAATAAGGAAATATCAATATTAAAACAAAAGTGCCAAGAACTTTAAAGAAGAGCTAAGAAAAATAATATTGTAATTTTCGGCGTTAAAACAGAAGAAGAAGAAAATATTATAGAAAAAACTGTAAGAACGTTACATGACAATCTGGATTGTATTATAAAGCACAGTGAAATAAACAATATATTTAAACTTGGAAAATCTGAAAACGCTCCAGTATTGGTAGAATTTGCTACATATCTAAAAAAATCAACTTTGTTTGAAGATACTAATAAATTAAAGGAGCTTCGGAAAAAGGGCTTGTATTTAAGCGATGATCTTTCTAAGGAAGGTCGAGAAAGAATAAATATTTTAAGACAACATCAGAAAACTCCTAGAGAAAAAAAATTTAGATGCTAAAAGGGTTTTAAGCTGATTATCGATGGAAAATCATATTCAATAGATGAATTAGATGAGAGATCTGGAAGCGAAGACGAAAAGAAGAAGACTACAGTGAAGCGGAAGAGGTATACACACTAGTGAAGAAGAATCAGAGGCTGAAAAGATAGAAAAATTGAATGCGGTCTCTCAAGAACATAGAATAAAACATAAAGCTAAATCCAGTATTAAATAAAGTTTAATATTATTAACAACATATAATCCTTGTTTTTTTTGGTTGAATTTATTTTATTCAGTGTTAAATTACAACAATTTTGTCAGAAGCTTAAGGTTTATTTTTATTTTTTGAAATTATATAACTTGTTCCATTCAAAATTTAATCTAATTTTATATGTCGTTACCTCATTTATATTATATAAACTTATTTTGCAACGTGCGCCTATGGAATGTGACTTTATACCCCCACTTTTACTGCACTCATCTTTTATTGACACTATAGCGAGTATTATAACTACTGGTAAAATTAATAAAAATATACATCCTTGTTATTCTAAGCCTACAATTTTCCTTCGTCCTAAAAAGGAATAAAATTAATAAAATAATGAGTAAAACGTTTAAAGGGTTAGATAATTATTTTCAGCCGACGGGTTAAATGTAAAATACTTTGAAACTTGAACGTGGGTAGTAAAGTAAAAGCCAACAAAAAGTAATTTCCATATTTTTCAATCTTTTAAATTTATTTCATATTAATATCGAACGTCTAACACTCAATTTGGTCAATAAATTCTCGACAAATCTTATTTAAGCTATAAATTACATCTAATAATCTCCTATTGATTTACGTTTAGTTTCTAAAAGAAGTTTCAGCTTTAAAAAACTTTATTCC